TGAATTGTACCACCCACTTGCTTACGTGTTAGCTTTAATGGACTTCCTTGTTTTGGTTGAAATCGAGTGCTTATTAATCTCATTTGACAGGTTGGCTAATCAAAATACAAATCGTGGGTTTATTGTATCTAATTATCACTGCATAGGTAGAATTTTATACTTCACATATTGCCAATACAAAGTGATAATTACATGTATTCACTAATTAATTAATAGATTTGGAGAACGGCGTATGGCAACTTGAACTATGATTACGTTTTTGCTCAGTTCCAAACTGTTTCCGGTAACTGTTTCCATTTAACTGATATACATAGGGTGTCCCAGAAAGTGTACGCATTACCTGATGTAATCTTGGTCCAAACTCACAGCCGGTACTCCCACTTCACCTTCGAATCCACGACATCTTCCCACAGACGTTCCCATTTCGAGAACCGACTGCAATCGATTAGGCTCGTGTCAACGATTTCCCTATCGACGTGAACTGCACGAAATTCTTCAGGTATCTCGATGAAATTCACATTCTGCAGCGGCCACTGGTCTTCAGGTTCGTATAGGAATTCTGGACCTGCAAAATATCGATTGGATGCACACAAATCAGGAAATCCCTTCCAATTCGTGTCGTCATCAGCAACGTTGAGTTTTGACGGAACGTGTGGCCATTCTTGCACGTTTGTATCCTCCAAGATTTCTCCGATTCTCACTGCGACATACCTTCTTGCGTATGATCTTATCCATGACAGCACGGTATCTGAATCAGTCCAGATATACCTTTTCTGGAATTCCATCGAATGGATGTGTTGACTATAGACTTCATCAGTTGATTTGCGCGGAACCGATAGTGGCTTCAATGGTGCTACCTTCGACTTCGACGCTACCAGCGCGCGCCGTGGCTGTCAGCGGTCGGTTACGCGGACAGGCCCGCGTCTACAAAGGTATGGAGCTCCAATGTTTGGTAGCCCTGCTTATCATAGCCAGGGAAATAGCAACGAGGAATTCGTACCAGGTTCAGTTTGCTGAAAAAAATTGCAAAACTTCTCCAACTTTCTTCGACGCTCTTCGGAATTACGTCATCGCATTCGACTCCACATCTTTAAATTTCCTGGATCACTATTTTTCCATAGATAGAACGTGAGATATCGTGGCGCCGGTGGTGTAGTTACTTTTCTAAAAATGTGATTTTTTGAGGTGTTAGAATCTTGAAAAATACATTTCATTTCTAGGATCTTGATTATTCTTCTCCAAGTCCAAGATCTGATTTTTTTTATGTTTGGGATTTTTAAACCTTTTTTATTAGTTTTTTTTTATATTCTGGCGTCTTCAATATTTAACAAAGCCCCAGAGTCATGTCAATTTGGTTAAGTCTGAAATGTTACCTTTTGAAGTAGGACTACGTCTGTGATTTCTATATGGGGGTACACTTTGTGAAAACCGAAAATGGAACATGTAACAAAATTATGAAAGATTTTGAACCTTAATAACTCAGCTCCCCCTGGACCAATTTCAATAATTTTATCACCAATCGATCAGAAAAATTTCAACGCATCTTTAAAATTTTATCATTTTTCAAAATGTTACTAATGAAAATTACACGAATGTGCAACTGTTGCTATGATAGTTAAAATTATCACTGATTGCCTGCGAAACACAGATTTCAAAGTTGAATTCCAACCAGTCTTACCAACGGTGTTTGTTCAATCACCGCGTGATGAGTGGTGGTGTTCTCCAGTACACAACGAAAGGCTCCCCGCAAGCACTTATTTAGCTATCAAGGCTGGCCTCAACCGCTGATCGGATTCAGTTCCAATCACCGTGTGTGGTGGTGTCCGGTCGCCGACATCAGCAGCAGGAGCAGCAGTGCTTTCGGCACGTGGCGTTGAACATTGTTCTCCAGTACACAACAAAAGGCTGCCTGTAAGCAGCGAGCTGCAGCCCACGCGTCATACTAAAGAGTATAAACAGAGATAACCCCGCTCAAATGCCTATTCCTACACAAAGCACAAGCTCCTACTGCACTTAACAAATAAGATTTATTATATAAGACCACTTAGTCCTTCGTCACCATTGCGTACAAGCCCATAGGGCTGTGCCTTGTAGTTTTTTGTTCTGCGATCTTGCAATTGTTTCTAAATCCAGAATTTGCAATTCAAGTCTATATTGGGGACCTATAAAAATAGTATTAATCCAAACTTGATAATAGTCACATAACATATGTGGAACTTCATGCAAAACTGCTGACTAATAGTTTACCCCTTTTTTGTGTTTCCTCAGTGATATAACTGGTATAGTTGGACATCGATCTGTCAAAATTAAATTTTCGTGATTTGACACTGAGTCTTCATATTGGCCAATGTCGGAAACTTCAGCAATGGTTTTTTCGTAAATATCTTGTAATTCAAAGTAAATCCATGTAACCAAGCAATTCTACCAGCTATGGGAATTTTCCCTACACACAAGCATCGCGGTGGCTTACTTGAGCGAGTTTTCATTCTGAGGAAATTCGTGAAAAGTCAGTGTTTACGTTTGTGAAATTGGCCCTTACGAAAAAATACAATATATTTGGATGCATGCTCAGTGCACGCTGTTTGAAAACTACCCAAATTTGAGTAAAACTGAAATTGTCAAAACTGAATCGATCAAAAAATGGGTCAACTATGTTGGGAGTGACAGGTTAACAATTGAACAACGTCGGTCGGATCCATGCCAACGTTGCTCATGTGTCAGCTTGTCACTCCCAAAATAGTTTACCCATTTTTAAGTAGGTTCAGTTGTGATCGATCTGGGAGGATACTACCCAAATTTGAGTAGTTTTGAAACAACGTATAAGTATTAACGTTGACGGTGGCTTTTTAACTCTTTACTCCTATGGTAAATCCCGAAGCCTAGCGGATTTTGTCTTATCTCTTCACTCCACCATGGCACCAGCGAGCCACCGCCTCTTCATGCAAAGATTAAGGTGTTTCGCTGTGAGATCCTTATTCTCGTAACCACTTCGAAACTTTAAGTGAACAAATATCAGCTTCTACGATACCTACCACAATGAAACTGTTACTCCACGTTTGCTGTACTGCAGCATACATGAAGTAGAATTTCAGAAGAAATTGGGCATTAATTTCCGAGATGTGTGTAATTGAAAATTCGAAGTGGATGTGAATGTATAGCCATTTGTGGACTCTAAAAGGAATCACCTTAACAGGATCATATCAAGAACAACACGAGAAAAGGGCATACAAACTTTTTGTAAACAAACCTTCTTATGCCCTTTTCTCGCCACCCATATGACATCAACGCAAACCATTAACATTAGCGGGTAGGGGAACCTTTCCCCTTCCCGATGATGTTGTTGGTTTGCGTGGGCGATCCTCGGTTGGCGAGAAAAGAGCATACAAAGGTTTGTTTACAAAAAGCTAGTATGCCCTTTTCACATGTGGCTCTTGATATGAGATATTTCACTGGAGTGAAAAGGGTAAGGTAATGTCTAACATGTTTCTCGCACAGACAGACGTTTGCTTATAGGATTTTACGATAGGAGTAAAAAGTAACACATCAAAAAATAAATTTTAATATTACATCCAAGAGGATGCACTTCAATCATGTCGAAAATCTTATGTAATTTTTATAGCCATACAAATTGTCAAATGCAGTAGAAGCAACGTAATGTCAGATCATGTACTGTATTAATGATAATTTTGTCCTTTTTGGCAAATAATATTACACCATATTTTCGACACGATTGAAGTGCATCCACTTTGATGTGATATTAAAAATAATTGTTTGCTGTGTACAGAGTGACCGAAAACGCTAGTTGTCACGGTAATGCGGCCATTCGTTTTTAGACTAGCTCTAGGGAACAGGGGGCTTATCAAAGGATTTAGAAACATTCAATTTTACGCAATTGAGAAACATAGAAAGGGGTGAAACCTTGGGTATTACAGGTATCGATAAGCGCTCGATTTCGTTTGTCATCCTTCTTGCAAAATTCTTGTGAATTGAAAGATGCAAGGTCAGCTCAAAACACTGCATATTTTCCACAATATCAAGAGATTTATGTCTGTTTTACCTATTAATTCCAAGAAGAAGAAGTTCCACTACAGCTATCAAATGAACAAGGCAAATATAATTCAATTTCTCAATGCACACTATGTTTTTTTTTCAGTATTCAGCTTTTTTTATACTGGCGGTAGAACTTCCACAGCTTCTTAAGATTTTCAATACTTATATGTATAAACCAGGACACTTGTTGTAAAATGTTGCTGCTTTAAACTCTATGCATCAAACTCCTAATTTGTGCGGCCGTATTTTTCCTCCTACGTTATGAAATGAATTCAAAGTTTGATGTAATTGATTCCAACAAAAAAAAAATGGTGCATACATTTGTTATCTAAGTTTATCATTGAGAAAGCAAATGGAAACAATTACTCACGCAAATTTAAAGAAATAAACAAGTATTCGATTGGAGTTTCTCAAATTTTTGGTCATAATTACAGAAAAGCAATACGTATCGCATTCAAAATTGAATTGTAAACAGTTAACACATGGCAGCTTAAAATTACGTTTTTAAAGTGGCAGGTCATCGCTTAAAACACCTTCGAAAAATGTTTCCTTTTTATGCAAACGATAATTTATAATTAAAGTAAAGCTATATAATTATAAATAAAGAACGTAAGTTATTATGGCAATACAAAGACATGAGTTCAAGAGCGCTAAGAAGACATAGAATTATAAACCACGTTAGAAATATTTTATTAGAATTGACTACCCCCTTGATTTCCTTTCTCAATTTAAAGCTGGTATAATCAGTTTGACAGATCAATATCCTACTATACCACTTGAAATCACTGAAATGGGGTTGACTTTTTATGATCGAGTTCCACATATGTTATGTGTGATAGTTCAAAAGATTGAGAAAAACTGTCCTACAATATACCAAACCTAAATCCTATTGACAGCCCTCGATAACGAAATAGCGCTACGATTAACCGCTTTCTTTCTTATCTTTCCAGTTCTGGAGTACGTTGGCCCGAAATGGCGAACCTTCGTGGCAAACATGTCCATCGCCCTGTTCTTCACCACCGCTTCGTGCGCCCTCCCTTGGATCGCCTACTACCTTGCCAACTGGAAGCTCTTTGCCATTGTCACTTCCGCTCCTCTGGCCCTGGCCATCCTCACGCCGTGGCTCGTCCCCGAATCTGCAAGGTTAGTAGCTAAAGCAATACCTGTTCAAGTACCGTTTCTAACCACTCCCCCCCCCCCCTTTCAGATGGCTCGTCTCGCAGGGCAAAGTGGACCAAGCTATCACCATCCTGAAGAAGTTCGAGAAGATCAACAAGAAGACCGTTGACCCCAAGGTATATCAGGATTTCAGTGAAAGCTGCGTCCGCTTGCAGGAGGAAGAAGCCGCCAACAGTAGCTACTCTGTGTTGGACCTGTTCAAGACGCCACGCCTTCGCAACATAACCATTCTGCTGATTGCCATCTGGATGGCCATCTCGCTGGTATTCGACGGGCACGTGCGTAACGTCGGATCGCTTGGTTTGGATCTGTTCTTTACGTTCACCGTTGCTGCCGCCACCGAGCTGCCGGCCGATACGTTCCTCACTCTAACCCTGGATCGCTGGGGACGCCGTTGGTTGGCCTGCGGAACGATGGTGGCCAGCGGAGTGTTCAGCTTGCTTGCTACTACCGTACCAGTTGGTAAGTTTGTGCCGTGATTCGTTCCAAGATCTGTGGTGGTTACTCATTATTATCTCGTTACAGGTGCTCTTTCTGCTACCCTGGCCATCCTGGGTCGCTTCAGTGTCAACATCTCCTACAACATTGGTCTACAGTATGCTGCCGAGTTGCTTCCCACCGTGGTCCGCGCTCAAGGTGTGGCATTTATTCACATTATGGGTTACGTGGCCAGTATTGTCGCTCCATTCGTCGTATATCTATCGCACATTTCGCCTTCGTTGCCGCTGATTGTGCTGGGAGTCCTGGGAATCTTCGGAGGGCTCCTCTCGCTGATGCTGCCCGAAACACTTGGACACGATCTGCCACAAACGCTGGCAGATGGAGAAGAATTCGGACGTGGGCAGAAGATCTGGGATTTCCCGTGCTTGGCCAAGTGAGTCACTTTCTTGAAAACGGAATCTCCCCTACTAATCTGCATGCTTGCTAATCCAATTTGCAACTGTGCAACGCTTCAATTCACAAAACCATCTAACGAACCGTTTCTTCCTCGTTCTATCTATAGGAAAATCAACGACGACGAGGTGGACGACCTTCCGGTGGAGCGTTTCACCCGGGCCACATCAAAGACCTCGGTTGGTGCTTCGCTGCGGGCGTCGACGCGTGGCGAGCTGCGCTCCAGCATGCTAAACCGTTCGATTCGGTCGCGCGTCTCGGTGCGTTCCCTCCAGCAGCGTGCAGATCAGATGACCGCCTGTGTCTGACGAGCGCCCGTTCAAATGAATCCATGCTCAATTGCATCTATTATATAATAAATGCATCCACTCAGAGGACATTTCTTAGCGAATAGGCCAAAACAGGAGATAGAATTAATAGACTTTTGTTTCCTCTGCGACGCTGCTGCGAGGAGAATCGGAGCCGCCCGCCCGGGGACAGAATTAGCCCAACCTAGTCAACCGTATCGGATGATGTATTAGTTTAGGTACTCGTATGTTATTCACACCCATTTTAAAAGCACGCTGTGAGCCGGATTTTAGTGAGTGCGAAAGAACGGTTGAGAGATCGAACCGAACGCCAGCTTGCGACCCTAATCATAGTTTGTAAGGAGAGAAAAAAGACCTCAAGCCAAAAAAAGTTGACCATCCAGGAACTGTGAGAAAACAGAGAAGAAGTGACTAGAGTTCCTAAATGGGAATGCGCAAGGAAGAATTGTAGCCATAACATTGAAGAGCAGAAGCGAATTTGCCAAAAGTATTAGTGATACCATCAACAAATGTGCAAGGCACAACTACAGCACTACAAACCCAATTGGAGTTCCTCAATCTGTGTTAGAAAAGTCGTGCAAGACGTGTGATAGTGCATATTCACTCCATCAGTAGCATTGTTTTTAGAATTTAGTGTTAGCTCTAGTAGGAATCATACATTATCGAGACAGCTTGCTCACGAGCAAGGGAAAAGGTATTTTAATCTAAATGTATGATTATAGATTTTTGTAGACATTTTAGGCTCATACGCAACAAGCAACAAATATATTGACGTGTTCGTATCCGTGCTGATAATCGGTTTGGAAAAACGATTGAGTTTGAATAATTTTCAGATAGCGATCGGGAGCTAGAATGATTTTCTTTTAATTTATTTCAATATTTATGTAATTTAAAATCATTTGTATCGCTTGATTGGAGGAATTGAAGCGACAATTCGCAGAAGAAACAATCTACAGACAATCGAAGGCATTAGGCTTTCGAATGTAGTTATTGACAGTTTCAAGTGTATTAATAAATAAATGATTACGAAAAGATTTGGGTTTGCCAAGACAAGACAGAATCCGAAAGCAAAAGTTTTGAGTCAGCATAAGCTAATGGAGGCTTGAGGATAATATGTGGCATGCATGTTTCATATCACTAGCGCTCATGATAATTTATGATAATTTGAAATTATTAGAAATGCTACAATTTGGGAAGCTACAGAAGGTAAGGTTTACAACAAACTCACTCATGTTTACTAAAAATGAACACATGAATAATACTCGAGTAACATTTGCAACGGGCCTATCATCTTTTGTACATAAAACTTGTTAAGCCTTTTTCGTGCGAACGGAATACGCCAACGCAAACTAACAACATCATCGGGTAGGGGAAATTCTCCCCTTCCCGATAGTGCTCTTGGTTTGCGTGGGCGTACTTCGGTTCTCGTGAAAAGGACCTAGCAAGTTGTTTACAACAGTTGATAGGACCTTTTCAAATAATACGTGAGCATTAATCATGTGTTCATTTTTCGTAAACAGGGCCCGCTGTTGTGTCACTTTTTTGTCAAACGAGTGAACTTAATTCCATCCGTGCACTCGTCTATTCCCGCGTGCAAATCCAGTGTGTGTTGTTCTCTGGCTCGGTCCACCTACAGTCGGTGTATAATGAGTCACGCCAAGAGAAAAACAGTTGAACTCGCATCACGGTTTTTGAAAGATTTCCTTTATTTTAACTTGGCAACAGAGGACTTCTGCATCAACTTCAAATGACTTCTAGCGAGGAAAAAAATTAACGGCTGTAGTAAATCATTATATCAGGGATTTTGTCGAATTATCTTAAAGAAAAATAGTAGAAATTGTCATTACTGATCATTACAAAACGTATCGCATGACAAATGTAATGCTCACTGCGTGTATATGATCATTTCTTCGATTATATTTTATATTTAATTGCAATACCTTTCGTGGACCTTTCATAGCATCGTAATGCTTGTTTACTTTGTACGATAGGTAGCCGGTTTGACAGTTCAATAGGTAGACTTGGCTTCACTCTTGGCGTGACTCATTATACACCGACTCTAGGTCCACCGTGATCCACGTTCATCCGTATCGCAGCACGAGTGCACGGATGGATTTGAGTTCACTCGCTCGACAAAAAGTGACACAACAGCGGGGCCCTGTTTACTAAAAATGAACACATGAATAATACTTGCGTAATATTTGAAACGGGCCAATCAACTTTTGTACACAAAACTTGTTAAGCCCTTTTCGCGAACCCAATACGCCCACGCAAATTAACAACACCATCGGGTAGCAGAAATTCTCCCCTTCCCGATAGTGCTCTTGGTTTACGTAAACATACTTCGGTTCTTGTGAAAAGGACCTTGCAAGTTGTTTAGAAAAAATGATAATCCATTTTCAAATGTTATGCGGGCATTATTCATGTGTTCATTTTTAGTAAACAGGGCCCCGCTGTTGTGTCACTTTTTGTCGAGTGAGTGAACTCAAATCCATCCGTGCACTCGTCTATTAGGTTTTGCACCGTCGAGGTTAACCTCAATCTGATGACAGTTCAGTGGTACTGTTTACGTGGACTTAGTCGATTTTTTCTTGGGTAGATTTTCTGGATCATTTTTCAGATTGCAGTGAGCTGTAAACCACACTTTTGCAATGTCCACGAGCAACATCCTTTCACCACGCATTTCCTCAACAATTTTCAAGTTAAAATTCGGAAATTTTAAAATATATTTTTTCGAAAAAACGACTAAGTGCTTGTAAACAGTACCACTGAACTGTCAAAAAGGTTCAGCCGTTTAACACTGAGTTCATTTGTGACGTCACGCTGCAGAACCTAATTAGGTGCAAAACGTAATTAGGTACTGCAGCGTGACGTCATAAATGAACTCAGTGTTAATCGGCTGAACCTTTTTGACAGTTCAGTGGTACTGTTTACAAGCACTTAGTCGTTTTTTTCGAAAAAAACAAATTCTAAAATTTCCAAATTTTAACTTGAAAATTGTCGAGGAACAGCGCGGTGAAAGGATGTTGCTCGTGGACAATGCAGAAGTGTGGTTTACATCTCACTGCAGTCTGAAAAATTATCGAGAAAATCTACCCAAGAAAAAAACGACTAAGTCCACGTAAACAGTACCAGTGAACTGTCATCAGATTGAGGTTAACCCCGACGGTGCAAAACCTAATTCGGCCGGAGTAGTCTGAAAATTCATTGTTTATTGTTTTCCTTTCTCCAATCAACAGCAAACACATCACATTGGAATCAGCTGTTATAGATGTAGTGGTTGCCAGAAAACTTTATTTTTCGTTTTGACAACTATGTTGACACGCTGAAACACCTTCCGACACCCAAAAACACCGAAGAAACACAATAAGCACGGACACAAGGTGGCAGAGTGACTTACCCCCTGTTTACAACCTTAGTAATGGAACAAGCTCTTTTGCTTATTACAGCGCTTGACGTTTTCGGAAGCTTTTGATGTCTATTTGTTGACAACAACAATAACAATACCAGTGTATTTATTTAATTCATAAAACGCTCTTGTTTTGTAGACAGTCACCATGCGTAGAAAACAAATCGTGCACAGTCACCTGGAAAACCCATCGTGGTCCGCGTCCAAGCTGGCTAAAGTATTGAATTTTCCTAGAAACACCGTATGTAGCGTGCTCAAAACGTACAAGGAAACATTGAAGACAAATCGGAGGCCTCAAAGTAAACGCCGGAGTGGAACTGCCAACCGTAAGCTCCATGGAAAGGTCGTGAGGTCAATCAGAAGCAGCCCAGGAATGTCTGATCGCGATTTGAGTAAAAAGTATGATGCCGCCCGTAGTACAGTGCAGCGAATTCGCTACCGACGCGAAGGCTTACAGACATACCGCGCCAGTAGGCAACCAAATCGATCACTCAAGCAGAATACCGTAGCTAGAACCCGTGCTCGAGAGCTGCATGACAACCTGCTGACCAATTCCGGTGGGTGCATAATTATGGATGATGATACCTATGTAAAGGCCGACTTTGGACAGCTTTCAGGACCAAAATTTTACAAGGTGAAGGCTCGAGGAGGTGTCTCTGGCAGATTAAAATTTGTATTTGTGGATAAATTCGCACGCAAATATATGATATGGCAGGAAATTCCGGCCAGAAGACAAAGGTTTTCGTTACTGAGAAAATGATGAACTCAGAGGTTTACAAAACCCAATGTCTCCAGAAGCGAATTCTACCCTTCATCCAGTCACATCATGGTCCGGTGACATTTCTACCGGATCTTGCGATTTGTCACTACAGCCGGTAAGTACAACAATGGTACAATGACAACGGAGTCCAGTTTGTTCCGAAAACCAATTGTCCCATTGTCCCCAGATCAGGGCCATTGAAAACTACAGGACAATTCCGGAGTGATTTGAGATTTGGGCGTAATTGTTATTCTAAACAAAGAGGTCAATTGCTGATTTTTCTTGAATTAAAGCTCAATCTCACAAACAAACTATACCAAATGATAGAGAAATCATTCCTCTACCTCATAGCGTTATTAGTTTTCGAGATTGAGCTTTTATTCGCGAGAAATCGGTGATTGACGTGTTTGCTTACAAATGCAATTACGCCCAAATCTCAAATCACTCCGGAATTATCAAGAGGAAACTGATGGTAAAGGAGCAATCATCAAAACGACAACTCAGATGAAAAATTGGTGAGATAAAATCGCCAAAACAGTGGACAATACATCCCTGTACAGAGTTTTTTTAAATGCTCGTAAAATCTCCAACAGTCGATTACTTCGGCATTCACTTTTGCTGATATCTCTGCAAAATATCTGGTTTTTAGCTGATATCTAAGCAAAATGTTATTTGTTAGCTTATTCTCGACAATTGTTTACTAAAGCCGGAGGCGCACCAGCCTCCATAATAAAGAAAACTTACTAACTGTTTACTAAATCTCAGCTAAATAAATTCTCGGCGAAAACATTTAAGTGTGGTGTTGTTAAAAAGGTGTTGATTTCCTCCCCGGATGAATGGCATCACTAATTATGCTTCCAAACTAGTAATCCTATATACAGAGATTCGTGGACATATTAGCAGACGATTTGGCAACGTGATTTGTTATGTTTACAAAAGCTGCCAACACTTGCTGCGGAGCAACATGTTGCAGCTTTGTGCATGACTTTATCGTTGTCTACGCTACGAGTTTGTTTGTTTACGTTGTTCAAATTCTGAACTATTTTTCCTTAAATTTCGAATAACATTTATTGATTATAAACTGCATTGTCAAGTTTTGTCCTAACCACAGTTTTGCCCTAACCAGTGTAACAATGTGACTTTTTCTGGTTTTCGAAAAACGCTAAACTTCGCAAAAAATCGCTGGAGTTTTGCGGAATATCGTCGGATTTTTACCTAGTGGATTCTTTACGTTTGTGCAGTGTACGTTGCAAAGATATTTATTTCTAGTAGGTATCTAGTTCAAATTTAATGCTTCTTCCAGTACCACTTCGTGCACACCCAATTGTATTTTGCTAAAGAAGGTGAGAAACTTCTGAAGCTGCCTGAAGCTATCCCTGTTCATCAGCACCAAATGCAGGTTTTGTAAAAACCATTTGACGTCGCAAATAAACACTACACATTATTCTGCTCCTTGCATAAACATCCGGTTCATCCATGCCTACTGAACTCAGCAGCAGAAATGAAAATGTTTCGGAACCTACCAACGTAAATTATGCTTTTGACCAACAATATCAAAGACTCTTTTGTGTCATAGACATTTTAATGCCATGATATATATTTTTAAATTTATAAACTTTTTGTTTGAATTTATTTCACCCCCACTACAATACTTTTCAACTGAAACATTCTTGCAAACGATAAACATGATCGTTTGGCTCACATTTTGACAGTTCTCGCTACTCGATTGGCTCAAGATGGCCGCTTCCGCGAATCTCTAAATATACGATTACTACTCCAAACTTGTTTGAGAAATATTGATTTTATAGAAAACATGGACATCCCTACACAACCATACGCTATAGAGTCTAGCAGATTGCCGTC